CAATGATCACTGTGCTGACTATGATGTTAATCACATTTAGCAACTGTCAAGAACACCTGGTGTCATCTGTGTTGTGCTGGGCGTTTTTAATGAAACATTGTACGCCAGCATAACGCCAATTTGCCACTTTCAGTTTCAGTTCCAGAGCTTGTGCTGTGCCAACACAGCTCAAGCAAGACTGATTGACCATATTCTTCGAATACAATTGGCATACTAGTGGTCTGGCTATATCCAAGTGGAAGATACCTCTTTCGATCATATACTGTTCTATGCAGCAATTCTTGTGAATTGTCTAACTCATGTCCATCAATATTTAGCCAAATTTGTGGTCAAATCACCTATCAACTTTTGTCCAAATGCCACACCATGTCCTGTTTGAAAGCCATTGAAGCCTGATATTGAGGTAACAAAGAAAGCCACCAAAGCGCCAAAAGCAATTATTAGGCAAAATAACCAACCAGTCAGTCAAAAGCAAGAAAACCACAGCAACCCCCTCAATTCACCATTGCACCATGCAACCAATGAAACGGAAAAAACATGTCCTGTGTCTACTCCATGCTTACCAGGATAAGACACAGGTCTGAGTGGTAATAATTACCATATTACCGCTGGATCTCCTGAGGTATTCACTGACTTTGAAGAACAGAGAGGTGGGTTTAACGTACTGGGTGGCACCTTCTCAGTTTTATATTCAAAGGAGAATCCTTTCCCTGAATTTTTATTGACAAGATTGCCCACCCTCTTGTTGTGTAGGCCTCTGAAACCGGCAACGACGACCCCCAAACATTTTCTTTCTGCTCTATAGATTACTCATTGTGTTTACAGGCAGGCTACTCCTCTGATCGTCACTTCATCTCTGATTCTCCATCACAGCTCAGACAAGCATGCCGCTATTTGGACCCCATTCCAGTGACTTTGCACCAAAGCTTATGATGTTCTGCCACACTGATCTTATCATGCGCATTGGACGGTTCTCTCGCCTGCGCCGTTTAAACTCCTGGCCACGTGTAAATTAGTCGCCACCATCTTGTTTGCTATATTCTGCCCAGTTTGGTTGCTCGCTCGCCATCATCGCACTTTCATCAGCTCCTCCCCTCCTACTTGGCGTACAGTGGACTGCTACTGTAACTAGCGGACGTGAGTGTCAATTGCTTTAAGTCTCATAACACCTACTCTCTCTCCCGGTCCTGCCAGAAGGGATTTACTCAGGCTGCACTGATTTACACATTCACCGCGTACGAGGTGCGAGAGCCTGCTCGATTCGCTCGTGCAGCCGGCCCGTCGCGATTTGACTACACCTGGGCTGCCCCCTGGGGGAATATTGTACATTCGGGTTGAAACTGCACCCACCAAATTATTTTCCGTATTGCACCTATCCTATAGTGCTTTGGTAGCGCTTCACGATCCGGTTATTACTCTGCCGCTAAACCTGGTTCAGATCCGTCTGAGTGGTTTTTTGTGCTACACCAGCATGCTTGTAACCGCATGAAATGTTACATCTCACCAGCGAACACTCACGGCCAACCAAGTGGCATCTCAGTTATACTCTAACCAGAGGATGAGAAGCAGGGTCAGCGCTTCATTTCTTAGCCACGTTCCTGCCTTCGGCATTGCTGTGCATAACCCGTTTTTTTGGCTACAACTGAAAACAAGAACAGAAAACCATGATAGTTAGCTTCCCCCCCATTCATTATGGTTCATTCTCAGCATGTGTCACTAACATTACACACCATCACATGACTCAATGATATGCCATATTTGCTGATTCAGCTCAAACATGTTCCCCCAATACAGTTCACTAATCATGGCAAAAGGCCTTGGACATTTAGGAATACAACCCTAAAAACAACTTGAAGCGGACTCCTCACAAACCCCCTTTCTCAACAAATATCTAATTCTCCAGTTCTAATGCAACTGTTCATGCATTATATTATTAATGCTCGTCTCGCCTCTCCAACATCATGTATTTTGCGGAGAAAACGAAAAGAGAATAACTGATGGAGACTCCATCACCAGAATTGTCGGATTTGACAAGGGCTCAAACAGCACTTCTTCTTCATGCTGTGTACCGAAAGGTGGCCATTACGAATTAATACAATTGCCAAATTCAATCAGAAATCAAGTTCATGGAAGTTAGAAGTTGTACTAAAAGGACATACAAAAATTCAAGAATCTTCTATGGCATTGAAATAACTGATTTCAAGGACTATCGGGAGCCTTTAATTGCTCTATGCGAGCTTGACACAAAACAAGAATATGACAAGGTCACCATCCAGGCCAAAGTTGTAAAACTCCGTGAACCTCAAGCAGTGACAACCGGTTATAAATCAAACAAGATGTCGTCGAGTGAGCTGGTGCTACCGGGAAAACAACCTTAACGCTTTGGGAATCACACGTCAATACCTTACAACTACACGCTTCATATGAAGTTAGCCCGAGTTACTGTTCGCATTTTTATGGGTAAACGCCATCTGTCGATACCTATTACTGGCTCAACCATTGAGCAATTAGTGACATCGAAAATCTCGATATTGATTCTGATAGTTCCGAAGATGAAGAGCACAACCTAAAACAGGTAACAGTTGTTGGCGTTCAACAGTTCGATGCAGTATTTACTTGCATGAACTGCAAAAAGACTGTCACGCCGACCGCAGAAATGGCGGGAACATGCAGCTCATGCAAGACAACACAAAGGCTAAGTGATCCGAAGCTAAGTGCTCGACTGTTTGTCAAGAATGATCAGAATGTAATTTCTCTTCGCGCACATGGAGATGTAATAAAAAGCATAGCCAATAAAAGAAGCAGCATCACAAATGAAGATATTCTGTTTTCTCCACCGTTTGACCTCTCTTACAACAAGTTTCACACTATCATTAACATCTCTCGTCACTGAACTCTGCCTCACTAAACTGTCACACTCAGTATGAGTCACAACCATGTTGTACATTTCACTTTGATAAATCAACAGTAAAACGTGACAATAATAAAGAACAAACAGCCAGTATTGCGCCGAGGGTTTGCACTTCAGTGCTTTTCATTATAATTATGACTGATAATAACCTTTAACAGTGTACCGGTTAAAATGAGCATGTTCATAAAAGTGCAGTGCTAACATTGACTATACAAAAGCTTAATATCCTGCTTCGTTACTATTGGGCTTAATTCGCCATCACAGTGTTGACAACTTTGGGCCCCAGTGGGTTTGGTGGTCCGGCAACTTCATCCCCCTGTTCGTTTGGTTGTCCGGCAACTTCGTCCCCCTGTTCGTTTGGTGGTGTGGGTTTGGTGGTCCGGCAACTTCTTCCCCCTGTGGGTTTGGTGATCCGGCAACTTCGTCCCCCTGTTCGTTTGGTGGTCCGGCAGCTTTCGTCCCCCTGTTCGTTTGGTTGTCCGGAAACTTCGTCCCCCTGTTCGTTTGGTGGTGTGGGTTTGGTGGTCCGGCAACTTCTTCCCCCTGTGGGTTTGGTGGTCCGGCAACTTCGTCCCCCTGTTCGTTTGGTGGTCTGGCAGCTTCGTCCCCCTGTCTTCGTTTGGTGGTCCGGCAACTTCGTCCCCTTGTTCGTCTGGTGGTCCGGCAACTTCGTCCCCCTGTTCATTTGGTGGTTCGTTACGTTTTCTCCTCGTGCTGCAACCGCTTTTTCACAGAACCCCTGCCCCAGTATACTGCCGGAGATGCAGTGCGCATGCGCAAACAAACGCGACCGCCCGCTCATGGGCTCCAGAGAAGGTCGACTCTACCTCACGTACAGTTTCCTCTGCTTTGAGAGAAGTTGCGCGCACGGTGTTGATGTATAGATAATCTTCAACTCAAGGGGTATAAGTGCTGTATCGTTAATTATATCCCACACTGTGCAAATCATTACTCTAGCTACTGCTATATAAAGATAATCACAATTTTTCTAGCTAGGATGCTACGGTAACTTCTAAATAATATCTGTGGTCAAAATATACAAGAGCCTCATCAAAGAAACCGACACCAGTTCCTCTGGCGACGTGGCTGTTGAGCATGTGGTAATGGCCGCCGTGGCATGGTCACCAATCCACGCTCTTCATCATATATCGCTGCAGTTTAGGATTAACAATGCCATGACTGCAATCCACTGGCAGTAAATATTAAGTTCACCTTTTATCTTACGTCCAACTGCATTCAGTGCTGGCTCTGACAAAAGAGCTGCCAACATCACATTGAAGGGGCTAGGTTCTATAGAAATGCGGCGCTCTAGTGCTGTTAGAATAGCTTGGATCCTCTCTCTGTCTGTTGCTGTGGAATGTATGGCCCTTTCACGCTCCTCAGGAGTTAGTAGGCTTTTGCTATAGAGCACAGGCACTAGACTGCTGGGGTCTACTCCGTCATGGAAAACCTGATGGCATCGTCTGAAAGCTCTCTGCTCAACAGACATTTGGCCAGACTGTATGTTTGGAAGGGCCACTGACTCTGCAATACAGAGGCAGAAAATCAGGATGTCAACACTTCAGCATAATTTTGCAGGTAAAATCAAGGAAATCTGAAGCGGAGTATGTAGCTATAAGGCTAGCATTTGTCTTTAGATTCTCAAGTGTTAGGCATGCATCAGGACTAATTTAACGTTTGCGTATTTACAAAAGGTTTTCAAGCACAATTACGTGCATTTTTAAGCTGTGGAAAAAACCTCGCAATTCGCAATAGACATAATTATTTGCAATTAATACCAGTCCTATGGTAATGTAACTTACTACTCCTGGTGATTCTTATGTAGCTGCCTTCCGGTTTTACTCCTAAAAATCCTACTCTCTGTTCAAGATCTTCGGGTTCACGTTCGACCATTTTAAGCTCCAATTGAAAGGCCGGAACGATTTTTCCTCCTTTGTAGTTATCCAATGACTCTTTCACGAGCTGAATCAATAGAATTATTATAATTAATTCCGTATTCCTCTACTCATTTTTTTATCGTTAGGATGGTCTGTTTTACATATTGGGGTATATAATACACAACACACAGTAGCGTAAAGCACGAGTGAGCATAGGTATGCACAAAAGGCTAGTATTGACTACTAATCGTGAAATAGGTTTATTTTGCATGAGCTGCACGGCTGTTTATCAACATTATAATGTGACCTCAAAACAGAGGAACTTAAATTGGACATTATACACAACGAGCGAATCTGTGTGTAACTAGGTAGGTGGTCGAATGCTACACAGCTTGATGCTTGAAAATATTGACAAAATTGTTTCCTAGCGATCCATCGAACAATAAGCCACTTGCACACACCCCACTGTCTGAAGAGATGCACTAGGACAAATTGTTAGCTCCCTCGCTCTACCATTAAGATTAATCTCTTACACGGAGTGAGGAAAGGGGACACAATCTCCAACCATCTTTGGTCCATGGCTCTTCAGGAATGTCGAGTGTTATTTGATCCATTCCACGTTCGAACTTGACCGCAATTATATTTGGACCTTCTAGAGCTCCTTGCCCCTCGTAAATCTCATGCACCTTCTGCAATAGAATTAAAACAATTATTAGTATGATGGGGTTTGGTAATAAAACACGTGAAATTACCTTCACGACCAGGTCTTTGCTTTGGGTGACAGTAATATGAATCTCCTGTACATTAAGTTGTTTCGGCACATAGAAGGCGCGGATGGCATAGTTACGTGACCTGCCAAGCACTGCAAAGATAGAAAAGTGGCTGACTTCGATAGTAGCCTCTCCAGACTCAGGAAAGTATCCTCCTGGCAGACGCTCAAAGATGTAAGGCGGTGTGTCTCTGGCAGTGTAGAAGGAGAGCGCTGTATTTTCATCGTCATCTTCCTCTTCACCCATGGAGGCGCAGTGCTGGAGACATAAACTGACTTTTTTGCTGAAACTTTCGACTGGGGAATTGACAGAGATAGAGTAGACTCCACTGACGGGACTGAGATCATCTGGAAACTGATATTCTCCCTGCAAGCTGGCCTGGACATACATATTGACTTGTCCAGTACCCTGCTCCACACCTCCACTGAGGACACCCGCTGGAACCGTAACTTTGAACCCATGGTCCTTCCAGTCGTAGGTTAGTGGCTCTTCTGGATTGATTGCTATCTCTTTCTGTGCTAGTATTTCAGCTTGCTCAACATCGGGGAATGCTATAGATGTGAGAGATATTCTGTTCGTCATTGGCCACACCAATTAGCAGAGGAATAGCTATCACTATAAGTTTATTATGTGCATAGTAAGTACATACGTTTACTGCATATTATATAGTAGGCTTGCCCACTCAATTACCAAGTATAATATTATATTCATAGTCGTGCGGTTCAGTGCGGTAACTTGATAGGCTCTTCTACAATCTCTACAACATAATTATAATTCCTGTATGTCAACAGTGCGCCCATTTGTGCATACCGACCACACACAAGATACTCCTTTTGATCTGCACAGAGCAAAGGCGCATTATCCAGCACAAAAGCAAGTGTTGGGAGCAAAAAAATCTGCCTAGCATCCTATTGCAACGTGATGTACGCATTTCAGAGAATTACAAATGCTGATATAAACATGGAAAAGCATGGTTGAAAGTGATAGGACTGAAAACTTTAAATTAGTCACAGGCACTCCACAAAAGGAGGTGTATGTTTGTTTTAGTGCACTTTTGGGAATCGTAGAGAGATAAAGATAGCTAAACTAGGCTTGGTAATTCTTTCACCAGAACTTTCTTGTTATGGTTAAAGGTCTGGCAACATTGCAGAACTACATAGTAGCACAGCTAACTAACATGCTGCGGCAGGGGAGTTCTGCAAGGAATGTTACTTACAATTCTCTATGTATGCACTTCATATCTGTGATGCTTCTTGCTAAGGCAATCACATGCTTTAGAGAGCTTTAGTGTTTGTACCCTTGTTACTTCATATAAGACTAAGTTTTGAGTCACGAAATGTGTTGTTGGTTCTTATATGAAGAACCAACCGAATGTACGGTAGCTTTCACTCCTGGAGCCCTAGTGCAGAATTGTGCATGCAGCTACATACATGCATTAGCAAAAGCATAGTCTGTGTAATTATTAAGCCCAGGTATATACGTAGGATGGCAAGGCGGCACACTGAAAAAAGCAGTACAGGCATCATGGATTCAAGCAGAATGTGTTCCTGTTGTAACGCATGAGCTCTGAGGCACCACTTACCCCCTGTTAGTAAAAGAATACGAATGACATCGTGCTCCTGAATACTGTAGTTGCTCAGGGTCTGTCCACCTTCCAGTTGCCCTCCATCATAGGTAAGCTGTTGCTGGTCTGCTGGTATTCCCTCTTTGTCTTGAATTTTCGCTTTCACATTCTCAATGGTATCACTGTCCTCCACCTTCAGAGTTATGGTCTTGCCTGTCAGTGTCTTCACATATATCTGCATCCATCTTCGTAGCTGCATGTGAAGAGTATACTCCTTCTGAATGTTATAGTCACTCAGTGTTCGTCCATCCTCCAGTTGCTCACCAGCAAATATGAGTCGTTGTTGGTCTGGTGGTATTCCCTCCTTGTCCTGGATTTTAGCTTTCACATTCTCAATGGTATCACTGGCCTCCACCTCCAGAGTTATGATCTTGCCTGTCAGTGTCTTCACATATATCTGCATCCATCTTCGTAGCTGCATGTGAAGAGTATACTCTCTCTGAATCTCATAGTCACTCAGTGTTCGTTCATCCACCAGTTGCTCACCAGCAAATGTGAGTCGTTGTTGGTCTGGTGGTATTCCCTCCTTGTCCTGGATTTTAGCTTTCACATTCTCAATGGTATCACTGCCCTCCACCTCCAGAGTTATGGTCTTGCCTGTCTGTATCTCAACAAATATTTGCATCCCTCCCAAGAGCCCCAGAGAGAGGTCCACAGTACTCCCACTATGCAGACCATAATCCCTCAGCCTCTTCTCATCTCTCAGCACCCTCCCACCTGACAACAGCTTCACCTGGTCTGGTGGGATCCCTTCTTTCTCGTAGATGACTGACTTCACGTGTCCCACTGTGTCCCCACCTCTCACTCCTAGAGCTAGGGTCTTCCCTGACAGAGTTCTGAGGAACACCTGGTACTGTGGCTGGCTCCTGAGGACCAGTCTGCACTTGCTGGAGATGATTGTGTGATAGTATCCCATTCTTCTCCTGTTCTCCAGACAAACCCCATCTAGACTAAGTTGTTGTAGGCGACGTGGGGTACCTTCTATTGCCTCAATCATCTTCTTTACTCTCCTGACAGAAGTGGAGGACTCTACTTTCAACTTGATGTACTGGCGGCTGTTACCCTTTCTCACTTTCAAGTTATAGAAGTGGAGCCGTCGAATGACGTATATCTCGGCCCCACTTTTGATTTCGTAGTTGTCTAACGCAGAATTGTCGTCAATTTGCTTACCGGCATGCAGCAGTCGTTGGCATTCCGGCGAAATCTTTGCCACTTTCGCAATTTTCTTCTTCACTTCACGAATCGATTCGCTAGTGACTACCTCAAGAGGGAAGGCTTGGCCTGTCAGTGTCTTGACAGTGATAGGGACCACAACTAGCAGCCCCAGCTCTGACCCATCCTGGATGCCACGCTCTCCCAAAAATCACCTGGTTCTCTAGTGCCCGACCTTGGAAAGAGAGTCGCTGCTGTCCTAGTGGAATGCCTAGTTCAGCCTCCAGCACTGCCTTAACATCCTCCACCCTTTCTCCTCTCCCTGCCGTGACTGAGATCACCACACCTGAAGGTTGCCTCACACGCAGCCCTATCTCCTATGTTGAACTAAGGTGGAAGGTACTGCCCTGTACTACGTCGTAGTCTCGAAGCAACTGTTCGTTCCTTATTTCCCTCCCATTGTAGACCAGGCTCTGGCGATATACTGGGAGACCATCTTCGGCCGCTATTTTGCGCTTTGCGCTCTCGACCGTGTCGGAACCGTGCACTGTGAGTGTAATGGTTTTACCTGACGGGGTCCGCACGAAAATCTGCATTTTTGTATATACCTGCGTGGGAATAGTAGCACGTACATAAGCTATGTACAACCAGTGTAAGTTTCAAGTTTCTTACCACGCTCATAAAAATCAGGCAGCTCGCTCTATTGCTCGCTTGGGTGTGGTGGCGATCTGCTTGCGGGGGCGCAGCCACGACATTCGCTTTGTTGATTATTCATGCTTAATTCCGCGCGTGCGCAGATATTGCGCAATGTCAGCGTTTATATATACTCGCGATAATTAGGAGAGATATCCGGATCCAGAGGAGGTTGCGCACAATAAACATTCCTAAGCTGTCTGCGCATGCGGCTATAATGTAATAAAGTATCTTAGCTGTGAAAGGAAGTTACTCTGGCTGGTGTTCAGGCGGGCCCAAGACCTTGCTATCTCTCTATTGTTTATATGTCCAAGTGTGTACCACGGAGAACAGTCGTAGCTAGCCTTGCAAACGCCAGTGCTGTTCTGCAGAAGGTGCTGACTCAGCGGGCTGACTGGGTTTTGCGTGGGCAACTCTAAGGCGCACGTGATGCAAGCGATGACGCGTGCACAGCCTAGCTCTAGCTTAACCATCGGCGCGCATGCGCAGCAAGGACTAATGCGTAGTCGGCCATTTTTATCGCTGCGGAAAATGCGCATGCGGTTATATGGTGGTATATGGTAATTAGCACAAGCTTACTTCGACCGGCCCCGCTTGCTCTGTGTATCTTGAAGGCAAAAGAAGTCACAACGAAGGGCGTGTATCGACTCTCGCATGCTATCTACTACTGTAGCTAGTCCGTGTCAGACTCTCCGCGAGCTACTAGCGCATACTGAGCCCAGCCCATCAATTAGTGGTACCGCGCGTGCGCAGTTCGCCGAGGGTTTGCACTTCAGTGCTTTTCATATATACTAGTGGAAATGTTGAACATTGTTGGCGAGCGGGAGCGACCCAACTTGGGATTTGCCCGCGATGTTCTGGCTGCCGTCAGCGCACAGCTTTCCTTTCGTGAAGCAAGACAGATGTACCTGTCGCCGTTACATGCGTACTGTATATTGCCAGAACGGTGAGCAGGTGAGCAGAACGGTATATACCGACCTTACGCTTTCAGCTCGTCAGGCGTCGTGGTCCACCAGGCAACTGGCATGCAGCAGGAGCAATCCTAGCGTATTATACTATTTGCAAGTTGCACCTTGGAACCATGACGATTGGGAAGAGGTACAGCCTCGGTCAGTCACCCAAGGTTACAGCGCATGCCGTCGATGGAGAGGAGAGTTCTCTAGCTCTGGCTAGAGAGGCACCGTGTGTGAAAATGTGTAAAAATTTGGAAATAGTTTCGGATAAAAAGAAGCGCGTACAAAGCCGCGCATGCGCACTTACACGACGTACGAACGTACGTACGTACGTATATATATAATTATATATACACAGAAAATTCCGCTCGAACGAACGACTAGGTTGGCTCGCTCGCGCTCGCCAATAATAAGCACAGAGCCTCCATAAGTGCATAAGAATTTATATATGGCTACAATACTAGGCACTAATATGTTATTCTTATTTTTAAGGAGACACCTATGGCGCCCAAAGGGCTTTAATACTAGTGGAAATGTTGAACATTGTTGGCGAGCGGGAGCGAGCCAACCTAGTCGTTCGTTCGAGCGGAATTTTCGGTATACGACCGACCGTCGTACGTCGTTTAAGTGCGCATGCGCGTATTTGTACGCGCTTCTTTTTATCCGAAATTATTTCCAAATTTTTTACACATTTTCACACACTGTGCCTCGCCGATCGATCTATATAGCCAGCTAGGGAACTCTCCTCCATTCGACGACATGCGCTGCAACCTTCGGTGACTGTACCTCTTCTCAATCTTCATGGTTCCAAGCTGCAACTTGCAAATACGCTAGGATTGATCGTGAGCGTGCACATACTTCTGCATGCCAGCTGCCTGGTGAACCACGACTGACGCATAAGGTAAGTACCGTCTGCTCACCTTCTCACCGTTCTGCCAATGTACAATACGTTATGTAACGGCGACAGGTAGATCTGTCTTGTTTCACGAAAGGAAAGCTGTGCGCTGACGGCACGTTATGCAGCCCGAACATCGCAGACAAATCCCAAGTTGGGTCGCTCCCGCTCGCCAATTAGCCAGTATTTCACTATTAGTACTGTTCATATTAACGAGGTTTTCTTCAGCCATGCATTATGTTGTCACATCCCTCTAAAAGGCAGCGGAGATGATGGGGACTACCAACGCTAGCGCTGCGCAGGTACATACATTCCTCAACGACTTGTATGGAAACTTAGTATTTGTAATGATTACACTGCAACCATTACAATATGCGAGAGTTTGTGAGAAGATATATATTATACATATTCAAAATTTACAGTAATTACAGAGCAAATAATAACAGAGTACTTAGGGATATACAAAATATAATAACTGTACAATTAAAAAAGGGACAAAACAAATACAAGTGTAAACAGAAAAAAAATTAGTATTAAAAGCAGAGACATGACGCATGAGCAAACACAAGTTGGCAGAGGAGATGAACAGTTACAGAGAGAGGGAGGGAAGGGAGGGAGGGAGGAGAGAGGGAGGGTGACTGGCTAGTGTTGCGGTAAAAGTTCGAACTGACAGAGAAGGGGAAAGTGGTCGGACGGGAAGTGCGGGTTAGGGCAACCGATGACCTTACACTCCCGCGCCCAGTCCATACTGATGGGACCCATTAGCCCCAGAGGAGTCAGAAAATCAGCGCTGTAGAATATGTAGTCAATGACTCCCTTGAAATCGTAGGTGTAGTTTGTGTACTCCATCTGCCCGCTGTAGGTCCTCCGTAGGTTAAACTGGTGGACCAGCTCCGGTTTACCGGATGGAGCGCGGATCCCTCCCCGTACCGACGCCGAGAAACGTTGGAGAAATCCGTCGTAGCCGTGTCCCTGGAGGTCGCGGTGTGACGTGGCGATCCTGCCCGTCCGGAGGTACTCGACGACGCTCGAGTCTGGGAGCGAGTTGAGGTCGCAGCACATTATTACAGGGACGCCCGGCATTCCAGGAATGGGGGTCTTGAATCCGATACCCCGCTCGGTCTGCGCCTTCATCACGATGTTGTTGAGTTCGTTGGTGAACATGAGCGTCTGGATGAGTTTCACGTCGGCAAACTCTGGGTCCCAGTGGATGTGGGCGTTGGCCACCAAGACGTGTTGACTCGGCATGTGCAAGGCGCTGGAGTCCTTCACTTCCAGGAGCGCGGCGATGCCAATGTTGTCTTTGAGCATGACGCGGTTGAGCATGGCATCGGAGCCCTCTGCGTGTGCCATGGCCAGTTGGTTGAACTCTATCAGATAATCTTCCAGCAACATGAACCTGGGAGACAAACATACAGAGTGTACGTCAACTATTAACACTTAACCAGCCACGGACACATATGCACCCAGAGCCTCCATAATAATGAAAAGCACTAAAGTGCAAACCCTCGGCAAACAGACAGAGAGACCAAGTACTGTAACCCTCGCTGCGCATGCACGCCGCCGAGGGTTAAACTTGCAAGTAAACGACTCACTTGGACTTGTGGAAGAAGATGGCACACCCGTCCACATACTTTCTGTCGTGCTGGTCCATGGTCCGGGCCCGGGACTTGGCGTTGAAGATGCCATCGTAGCCGTGAGCTGCCAGCTCTGGCTTGAAGAAAGAGTAGAACTGCTCCGTTTCAACCTCCTAAAGATGGGGGGAAGGAGGAGACGTCCACCATTGCAAATGTGTGCATTTTTCACTTGTTGAAAGATTTTTGTGCACACTCCAACAGTCAACACAGGCAAACACGATACTCGGGGCCACAAGTGGGAAGGCTAATGGTAAAAAGAACTGCACATGAGATCTTGATGACCAATTGGCTCCTTCCTGTTTGCCAAAAACACGCTGGTCACATGGTATTATAAATCCAGCAATCTGCCCAAAATATTAGTACATGAAACATATGTACACCAAAAACAAATGTCCTGTATAGAGAGGTGTCCCTATTCTTAGTGTCAATTATACCACTGTAGTACTATATTTTATACATGGCACTCTACACTGTATATACCTGGAGAGCGATGATGTCGGGAGTGAGGTCGAGAAGTTCCTTCATGATGATGGACTTGCGGTACTCCCATGCCAGGGCCCAGGAGGGACAGTAACCGTACTGTTGTCGAGTGGCATACTTGTCGCACAGGACATTGTATGACATCACCGAGAATGTCACTAAGAGATGGGGGGAGAGAGGGAGGGAGGGGGGGAGAGATTGGTAGGGGTCAAGGCACGGAACAATCTAGAATCTCAGCAGTACTAAAGTATTGTGTGTGTCAACTACACAGAGGTCTCAAGGAATGGCAAACCAAAACAACACGACAACATTCGCGGCAACTTTCGTTTTTGAAGAAAAAAGAGTCAATACGGTATTCTAAGAAACCCTTGTAGCCACAGTTCAAGGTCACACATCCCCACAGACCTCTGCTCCATTAGTAGAGGTCATGCAACCAGTTCTCAGTTGTATATATATATATACAATACCAACAGCTTCAATACAGTACATGGTATGGACAACTTTAATATACAGCACATGGTACTACATGTCTCAACAACTTGGTAACGAGGTAGAAAGGCAAGGCAAGGCAAACAAGCCAACTACGCATGTACCGTATTAACATGCTAGGAGCCTAGCACTAGTGGAGTGGCTTACTTTGTCGAGACCTGGGGTTGGCAATCTGTATCCATTCCCTCTCTGGAGGTCTTGGACACACTGGGAGGGACAGAGATAGAGGGAGGGAGGGGAGATTATAACCTTTCTCTAATGACTCTACATGAGGTGTTCTGGCAGAAAATGATACATAGTGCGGATTCTTGAGGATATAAAGTTTTACATAATAGTATGTAGAGTATATACCATACCGGTGAGGTTATCGAGGAGGTACATGAGTAGTTTGGCAGTCCCACCGTTCATGTCACTGGCCATTGAGAGTATCTCCGGCTGGAGAGGGTTTCCTAATGCAGAGGACCTCGTGTCAATACCCACTACCATTGTATATATGGGGAGTGTGTTTCGTCTCCACACCATTCAACTTATACTGCATTGTATATTACACTACATGCTGAACAAGGATTACGTAACCAGTGCAGCCATACTACTACGTTGTGCAACAAAGGACAGAAACTAACTTAGTGTGAAGAGAAAAAATAAACAGCAATTTGTAAGTATACTATGTACCATATTCTTGGACACCTTGAAATGTGGACAAGCAGCATGCCCTAGATTCATTTCACCGCCATCGTGCATCAGCTCACGTGTTTTTGCAGGTCCCAAGTAAGCCCTTATGGTTATATGAGTGTTAATTGTAGCCTTTTTGAAGTCCTGTTTTCTTTCTTTACGTATGTATATAGCGAGAGTTGTTCAGTTTTCAAATAGTGTATGTATGCAACTACTGTATAATACTATCATCCAGCTGACCAGTGACTCCGAGGTTCTGCAGCTGGAAGAGCCGGCCCAGCTCGTAGGGGAGCATCCTGAGGGAGTTATTGTTGAGACGGAGATCCCTCAACTGCAGCATGTCCCCCATCTCGGCCGGGAGACTTCGCAGCTTGTTCCCCGAGAGGTCGAGGTGGAGGAGGTTGGAGAGACGGGATATGTCTGCCGGGATACGCTGGGGGAGGGGGGAGTGGCATAAAATTGAAAAATAAAGCACAGAGCAAAACTTCACAAATTTCCCCTCACTAGCAATCTTTAGTGCATAACTTGAGTATCCTAAAAATTAATATCATACACAACTTACAGTGTATACTGATTACAATTTTCACAGGGAAGGGGCTGTTTACGGGCTGTTTGACTCGGTAACAACCAAGACATTAGCCCCCCCTTTAAAAAATAGACAAGCATGTTCGAGCTTGATTAGACTTATAGAATTGTCAAGCTTGAGGCAAGCTATAATATGCAAGCTTGCCTGGCAAGCTTGAATGGCAAGCTTGTATTAAAGGCATGCACTCCATCTTAGCTCATGGCCTGTTGAAATGGGATGTGGGTTTAAGGTGATAGACATTATGTAGACGTGTGAATGGATATAAAAACGACTGGCATTGCTTGTATGTAGGACACTAGTCAAAATGATCACATGATCACATGATGTACAGTGCATCAGGGCTCATATGTATGTATGTTTAAACTACGAGTTAGAACAAGTCAACTACACCCAGGACAGCTCTTTTTCCCAAGCAAAACAGAAGAGCTGCCCTGGGAGGGATTCGAACCCACGACACTCTGCAGTCTAGGATGTATATATAATATATACCTGTAGGTTGTTATCGTTGAGGAAGAGAGCTGTGAGGTGAGTGAGTTTCCAGAGCTCAGGGCTCAGGTTCTTGATGGGACCTCTTATCTCCAGCTCCGTCCAGTGGATCCTCTTCTCCTCCTCCCCCGCCTCGTCCCGCACCCCTGCAATCAGATTGCTTTTTAAAAAACAAATTTCCCATGCTCATTTCTGCCCTTGAGAATACATACATAGTGGAAGACAAGTCATAAGTAGGTAGACTACTCCGGCGGCACCCCTGCAATCACAATACACTGATTGATTTTTTGTAACAAATCCCTATGCAATTGAGAATAAAATGAATTTAATCATAAGTGAGGGAGGAAAGAGAGAGAACACAAATCAACAACACCCACACAAAAATTATTATATTTTTTGAGAAAAAGGAGCTTCCCTTGGGTTTGTGTCGAGCCATTACCACTAGGCGGAGTGCTCTACCAACTGAGCTACCAGGGCAGCTCATGAGGCGGAGTGCTCTACCAACTGAGCTCCCAGGGCAGCTCATGAGGCGGAGTGCTCTACCAACTGAGCTACCAGGGCAGCTCATGGGGGGGAGTGCTCTACCAACTGAGCTACCAGGGCAGCTCATGGGGCGGAGTGCTCTACCAACTGAGCTACCAGGGCAGCTCATGAGGCGGAGTGCTCTACCAACTGAGCTACCAGGGCAGCCCATGAGGCGGAGTGCTCTACCAACTGAGCTACCAGGAGGCGGGGCTCAAGTTGTTGACAGTTATTATAAGATCTCCACTTTGATAACAAGGTGTGCAAGCTTCCCACTATATGGGATACGAACCACATTGTTTACATACATAGATACGTATATACTACCCACCATGTCGTGCACCAGAAAATTATGTTAATACAGGCTTCTCAAGTGTAGCTATGTGTACACTACAAGAATATTATATGTGGTAGGGCAGCTATATGTACATACACAGGTCAAGGTAAGGCTTCCTACATGGCTCAGGGCTCACATATGCATAAAGAGACAGTATGTAAAGACTTGAAGCTGCACCGTAACTGACTTTCAATAACTAACAACAACCATTTCCTGAAGTTCTACTCACGCCACACACACACCTGGATACACACTACACTTGAGAGAGTAACAAACGCACCACATTCCAGTTCGAGCAGTTCGATTTTTGCAATCACATGACAGCATTACAGTATGTGTGCAGTGGTTCGTGGAAATATCCCGTAATGAGTAAAAGAAAATGTACTGCATTCAGACAACTAGGCAGGCTCGCTTCACTCGTCACATAATATGTAGAAAAATCGGGCAAATTTAACAACTTCGGTTAACTCACTCCACTCGCTTATTAATGTGTGTATTAATGTAGATACCTGAGCTATGAGCTGTCCCGTTATACATGGTATGTGGAGGGGCTTCCCCGCCGGAGTTTACCCCACCCACTCCGGGGGGAATTACCCCGCCCCCCGGTCCGCCGTGGTCGCCGTAGTGGGTCATGTGGTCTGTCCGAGGGAGAGGGGGCGTGGCTTCACTGGAGGGTGAGGTAGCGGGGACCGAGGACGTTTTCTGTTAGTGTCTTCAGCTGTTCCCGAAGTGCATGCGAGCATTCTGGAGAACTGTGTTCAAACGTTGATTGGGAGGGAGAGAGGGGCGGGCACATCATGGTGGGCAAAATTTTTACCATTGATAAATTCACAAAAAACCACTCCTATTTATAAGCAAATGTTTGGGTAAGATGTAAGTTACATTACTGGCAAGCATGACATACGCCCGTTACACAGCTATCCATGCAAGCACTTACAGTATATGACTCATATCCGTGCCAGCACTTACGTGCTTACATTACCCTTGCTGCTATCACTGGACTGAGTAATCTCTAGTCATACAACTATACATGGTCCAATGCACCTGTACATACGATGTGCTGCATGACGGATCATGTGGGTACCACTCATTGCTAAGAATTGGCAAGTGGAATGCACACAACTCAACAGAGACTTGCGAGGAACATGGAGATGTATGCATGGCGGGGACACAACACGTACATACGTACCATCTCAACTGGCCTGAGATCTAATCACTCGTCCAAAATTACACTGCTACACTCCACCACACAAGTACTATATACTTATACACATGAAGGTATTAGACCATGTGATGCCAAGAGAAAAAAGATGGGGAGCTCTGGACAACTGTTTCGGGGCGTGTTGGCCCTCATCAGCATTGTATATGTAGCTACATATATACGACTTGTGCTAACTCCGTCGATAAAGGACTACATGAACTCTGTTAAAATTGGTGTCTTGCTTAACATGTATCATCATGTCAACATACCGACTAAGAACAGGTTGTGAGTGCGACACACTGCCTTTCTACGCTACTACATAGGTCTCTCGTGTCAGCCTATCAGAGGTTTTCGTGATAGGCTACACGTGAGGAAACTAACCTTTTCTATGTACATAGATACATACATACATATACATACAGTACATGTGTAGCTTGAGTAACGCTAACTAAGTGTAACTAGTGCATGCGTGGTACATGCAAGATTTATTACAGCCCAAGCCAGGGAAATAATTTGTACTGCACGTAATATCAGAGTAAGAGTTGGACGGACATTGTGGCTCTGTTCTTTTCTAATTGCATTAATTGTGTGGTTGTGTAATAGTACATGTGCATACGCATGGCCACTGCCAGAAACACTGAGAACAACACACACACACACACCTAGTCTACATGCCAATGCACACACACACTATAACAGACTCTCTCCCGTGGTTTGTGTTACATCGTCGTGGAGATATCCTCTACCCAACTTATTTTATACCCATGATGCATAATACGTCATGTGGGGTTCGTGTCCTACCAAGGGCAGATCTTTTTTGCAAGTGTTATCCTGCGTGTTTTTGAGATATAAACTTTCCTTGTGCTTACACATCTTGGTTCATGCAACTCTGCACTAAAATTGAGCTACCTACATGTAGGTAGCCTTGTTCAACCAGCGGTGCGCTAATGTGTTCCATGGCAGCATAGAACTGAGGTCTAAACACACCCGCAGTAAAAGTTGTGGGAATCACTGACAACACTACCAACATGCGACTTACCGTTAGCAGGTCAAGAGAAGGCAAAGATGTGCGTAGATCACTCAACCTCGACGATTACAAGGACACTTAGGCCCACTTGTGCGCCCCTGTGCATGCAGACCCACAGTCTTACAGTGCACCGGCCTGCGTGATTATTTTTACAAACAACCAGCTTTCCTCACCATCATATGACAGGAACTGAGAGAGGCATGTATATTATCATGTGCATGTGGTCCAGGATAGAATCGTGGTCTGTCAAACATGTATTTACAAAAAAATGCACATTCACTTTGAGTAAGTGTTAGCTTGAGATGAATACCTCGTAACCATGGGATTGGAGAGGGCAGGGTGTGTGTGTGTGTGTGTAAAGACTAGGAAACTAGATCAGACTAGCCAGGCTGAGTATCCTCACAAACCCTTCAACAGAAAGCTAGTCCTACACATGTTCCACTGAACTGACCGTACAATCGTGGCGGTATATACAAGCATCTATGTGTACGGTCATTCAGGTAATCCGTACGTTTCTCTTATCTTGCAACTGTACTAGCATCCCTCTCTGCATTATAAGCTACAGTACACGCGTCCACCTTACCTTGCATGCACTGTAGAGGAGGCCAGCAAACACAGTAGCTTCGCTGGCACACTAGAGACTGGTAGCGCCCGGGAGAGTACGCACACCGACAGACAACAGACAACAGACGCTGTATGACTGGACTTCAGCGCCTTAGATGGGCATCCAAGCTTGCCAACAGTCTAGCTAGACACAGCTAACAGCTAGCTTTCAACCTCTTTTCCGTGCGATGTGGCGCTTTTGAAAATTTCTCTCTAATTAAGCACATACAGCGCACGCGCATTAGTAGATAGTGTGTATTCCCCGCCCCCCCCCTCCAAAAATCTGTTCTTGTTGTTAGGGTGCCAAGCAATGATTCACGAGGCACTGTTGGTTCTTTGTACATGAAATGACAAAGGAACATAACAATGCCGAAACAGTTGATTCAGCACAACCATTGCTCTCGTAGCCTTAGCCTTGTTCTCACACCTTTCAGGACAGGAAGCCTGGAAACGAGGCTATATACATCTTTCTTCTCTTGACACAAAAACCATTTTCTCACACGTCTTTATTCTCATTCTCTGACCACCCCACTCATTTTTCATTGGTCCCACTGTACAGCACCTCCACACATGTATGTAACATTCATCATTATGTCACAAAAATCTCTCAATGTACTACGTAAGAGCAGGTGTATAAGAACCACTAGTTGGCACGGAGGTTGGTTGCATAATGTACTGTACATGTGGACAGGGAGAGTCGAATCTGTTGAGTCGGCTGGTGTGTCTCTCCCACACTGTTCTCTCTCACCCAGCACACGTCACACCTGCACACATCACACACACACACACACGCACACACGTCACACATTGTACAACACACAGTTGACACCACATCACTCTTCACACACTCACAACAACCTCCTCACAATGCCACACAAACACACACACACACACTCACACCATGTGCCTTCTTGACACAGTTCTCTTCACGTGTACGACACAAAAATGGTCGACACACTCACACTCTCAAAAACACAGAGTAGAAGCAAAAGAGGAAAATAGAAAGAAAGAACGCAATAGTAGATGTGAAACGAGGAAAAGGGATAGAAAGAACAAATGAAACAAGAAGCAACAACAAAACCAACAACCTCCCCCTCCTCTACCTCCAGCCCTCCCCTCCCCTCCTTGACCCCTACTGGGGTGCCCACCCCCCACCCCTGTAGCGGGTCCCATTCCCCCCGTATCCCATTGCCTCCCCACCACCACCACCGTAGTGGGCACCGCCATACGGCCCCTGCGTCTCCGCCCCAACTTCCGCTATGTGCTGATGCCCGCCCGAATGAGGCCTCTTGGCTGGCGGCGGGACATCGTTAGGTGGCTGCGGGGGGTACTGATCCATGTGAGATTGGTGCTGATTAACAGGGGCCATCCCCGGACGAGGTCCGGTGCCAGAGTTGTATCCGGACTGTTGCTGCTGCGGGGTGTATCCTCGTGCGGTGTACCCGAATTGAGTCGGCTGTTGAGGCGTCCCGTAGCTGTAGTACATTCCCTGCGGTTGTTGTTGAGGCTGAGGATTGTAAAACTGAGACCCGTAGCCGTATCCATAGCTCCCCGTAGCGTCCCCGTGTGACGCTGCGGCTGGACCCGCTCGACGAGGCGCACCTTTCGGGTCCGCGTGAGTGATGTTGAGTGTAGAGTGTCGAAGACGATGGGTTTGTGCCAGTACTTTCTGCACATCGCTGCCTTCTTGATAGGTCACGAACCCAAACCCGCGGTAAGGTTTCGGGATGTATATGTCGGATATTTCGCCGAAATTACCAAAGTATTCCTGGAGTTCTTGTGTAGTGGCCTCTGGTTTCATGGGCAGGCACCCGACAAACAGTTTGCAAGGCATGTACGACGGACTCTGTGGATGATGTAAGTGATGTATATACAATGGGATGTGATATGTACATTATGTACATCTTTTCCCCGTTCATTGTTTTACTAAATTCTAAGGTTGAAAAAAGATAGCTGAATGTTACACACCCTTTCAACTTATTCTGTAGATTGTTTTAGGCAAAACATAAAAAAAGAATGCTCATCTCATTCCAACATTGCATGTACATGGTGTACATATGTACACCAACAGCATCAGCTACAGAAGGTTTACCTTCCTTGGGTGTTTGATGTCCACTCTTCTCTCTTTGATGGTGTGCTGCATGACCTGGACCTTCTCCTGGACTGCTGGGTCTAAGAACCGCACAAAACCAAACCCCCGAGACTTGCCAGTTATATGATCCTTTTTCACCTGCACACATACATGTATATATAGTGCAACATCCTTGATCACTAGTGACAATACAATTTACCTATACGTATACAACTCCCCCCACAAAGGGATCATCATTACACATTCTACATCATAAGAGACTATGACCCTTAGACCCTGTACCCCAACACAGTTCTATACATGAGCAAAACAGTAACTGAGTGCAGCTACTAAGAAAACATCGCTTAATGAAATCTTCTCTCCAAATTAGATGAAACTCTGAAGTACATGTGCCCTGTACGTATGCTCATGGCTGGCTTGGCTCTGCCCAACACCATCTTGTAGGCCTTGACAAATTATGCTAGCATAATTGAAGGGGTCAAAGCCAGAGTGAGCCAACCCTCAATATACAACTCAACAACTTGTTTTATAAGGACATTTAGAACATATTTGAAGGTAAACGGCAAGAGTTGTATATTGAGGGTTTGACCATTCAATTTTATAGGTATTTAAAAGCATAAGGGAATTATGCTGGAAAAACAGGCAAAAATCTTTAGACTAGTGGGAATAATAGGCTAGCCTCAAACGTATCTCCACACATGGGTGCTTTTGCTTTATCTTAAAGCTCCATCAGATCTGTTTATGTTATGCTTTGGTACAATTGAAAATGACTGTGTACTAAAAATTTTGAGCATAATTTGAGAAAAATAGGTTAACTGTTAGCATAGCATGACTGGGGAATAGCAAAAGTAAAAGCATAATTTGTCAAGGCCTACACTCCCCAATGGTGTCCCTTTATCCCCATATCTAGTATCAAGTAAGGTTAAAGAGAACCTCAGCGGCTGCCACTTCTCCAAACTGCTCAAAGTATCGTTTCAGCTCAGCATCAGTCACAGACCACTGGAGACCCAGGACTATCATGTCCTCTCGGTTCAGGTCTCTCACCTACACATATATACATGTGTCAAAAACTAAGTATCGAGGTAGAAAGGCAAGGCAAAGTCAACTACACCCAGGACAGCTCTCTGCCCTGGGCGGGATTCGAACCCGCGACACTCTGTAGTCTAGGCGAGCGCTCTACCAACTGAGCTACCAGGGCAACTCAGCTGGTAGGGGTTCAAATCCATACTATACACAGTCATTGCATATACACATTAATGCATATGTACGTGTATTGAGGGGTTCAGTTACCAAACTTTACAAGAGTTGTAGTAAACAGCATTTTTCAATTTACCATGTAGGGGCACATAAAGAGGGGTTGCCCGCTACATGATTTAGTCCAAACTAAAACTCCAACAACACAGTTTCTGGTGGAAGATTGGGCAACACTGGAAACAGTGACCCAAAACACTCCAACAACAGTAGCACATGAAGAGAAATGAGGACCTTGAGGCCCGTAAAGTCGGGACTAGCAGAGCGAGGATTCTTGGCCGATCTCTGGCTCTCTCCATCTCCCTCGTCCTCCATCTTCCTCTTGTTAAAGCTCCCATCCCCACCCACTCCTCCTCCTCCCCCTCCTCCCCCGGTCTCCCCTCCCCCTGTGCCCCCTCCTCCCCCATCTCCCACCTCCACCCTCGGTAAACTCCTGGTAATTAGGGAGACAAGACGGGACCACAAATATCACTTAGTATACTGCAATGGCTCTGGTACCAGCATCATCACTAAGTATGGTAGTACTTAGTATAATTATAGGGATGACACAGGTTGTCCTGCATTATTTAGAATTTGCGAGCAAGGGAGCCTACGTTTGTCTAAATTTGTGGTTTTCCCTGTGTGCAATGTTATCGACGATGAGGAGGGGACTATCGTAATGGTTTATGCAACATTAGACCGCAGTCACGCGCAATTGACCAATCAGATTACAGAATTGCGGGGGGTTTATTTTTCATAGACACCTCGTTTCAGGTGTCTAATGGCGTTTGCAGGTGGTCTACAGCAAACTCCCCGTACAAAATGGCTATTCTCAAAAGTCGTTATCTGCGCAAACCGGCCGATTCCGCGTTCGGTATATGTAAGCGTAGAAGGCGCGACTGGCAAAGTAGCTCTTTTAAAATGCGTAGTGCACCTGCAAGAAGTCTGTGGACAGTCTCCGGAGCTCGCGAAAGTCAGAAATCACGTCAATATTCCACGAAAAAAGCGTCGGCTTCTTCAGCTCTGGCGATACACAAACACATTGGGCCGGCCGTTGCCGTGCGTTGCTAACCCTTTCAAACGCGCACCACCAATGAGGGCGTTTTATGATGACGTAAACGATTTTTGACGGGGGGCGGGGGCTGTCTCCTCGGAGTCTCACACGTAAAAAAAGCGTCTTGTTCCATCCGAAGGTAAGGAATGAGGAATGAGCGCAGCGTTGCTAGCTTGTTGCTACCCATTTGAACGCGCAAACACCAATCAGATACTCCGGTCTAAACCGGTTAGACGCGGAAGCTCGGTTGTCTACGCAACATTGCAACCCTCGGGGCATGTGGGTAGCGCCCTCGCTGCGCTCGGGACGCCAACATTCCACAGCCCCTCGGGTTGCAATGTAGCGTAGACACCTCGCTTCCGCGTCTAACCTATATATAGTGAAAATGGAATAGAGATTTTTTCAATCGTCTGCCACACGACGATCGCATTTGTTTGCCTTGCATTTGTCCCTAGAATATGCACCATGATTTAGAGTTGAGGGAAAGGGGGAAATGGAGAGGAGGAGGAAGAGCTCACGCAGAGGTTGATGATTGGACAGCAGGTGTGACGACCACCACATAGACAGCCTCTCCCCAGCCACCATCGGGAGGTGTCAGAACGTCGTTCACCCTCTTGACTGCTCGCCATCGGCGGGTTGCCACCCGAATAGGAAATATAGACGGACGTGGTATGTGGGAGTGTTCCCTTGCATAGCTTACGATAAGTAGAAAAGAAAAAAAACAAACTGAAACACATATCAAAAAAAAAAAATATGAAAACGTCCAAAATAAGAACAAATTAAAAGATAACCGAACATACGAACTGGATAAAAAACCGTCAACCCCAACACGACAGGCATATTTCTTTGCAACAGACATATTGGCGTAGGAACTGGGTGCGTTATTATTTTCTCCAAAATCATATCAGCAGTCAATTTACAATTACACAGCGCCTGGTGTACATAGCCTCTACTAAGTAGTTAAGACAGATCCAGTTCAGCTGGTCCTCTCTCGAGGGCTTTGCACTTCATCGCAGTGCCTTTCTGATTCC